GAAGAGCGTCCTCCTGCAATCAGTTCTGCATCCCGGGAAGTGGAACCGCTCTCTATTCAGGAGTAGTTCAGAGTCAGTGTACAGGGTGTGGGATGCGTCATCTTGGATTGCACTGCCTGGTTTGTCGTTTGTGGATTTTGTAGACTGAGACTTTAGGAGGTGGATGGGTAGGGGTTACACTTTTAGACTTTAAATAAATAGGGTTAGCCTGTATTCTCTCAGACCAGCAGAGGGCGACTTCACTGGTTGCAAAAATAAGTCAGTTTAAAGGTCCAGTGTGTAAGATTTAGGTGAAAGGGAACTATTGGCAGAAATCTAATGTAGAATAATCCTCATGATGTTTTCACTAGTTTATTTCATCTAAATTGTATGAATTGTAGTTTTCTTTACCACAGAAAAGTCCCTTTATATTCAAATACTTAAATATTTACATCGAGGTGTCCCTCTCTATGGAGGCCGCCATGTTTTTTACATTAGTCCAGACTGGACAAACTAAACACCTTTTGAGTTTTTATGACAACTGAAGCTACCAGAGGTTCTTTGTCATGTTTGGAAGGAGAGGGTGAGGTGAGGGGTGTTCAGCTGCAACATGCAATTTCAACACTACATATCACAAAATTCTACACACTGTACCTTTAAATAACACAATTAAACTGTTTCGCACTTAATTAAAAACATCAGGTTCATTCAAGCTCTCATACTGGTATGCCTTGCGTTAACGCTTCATGGTGGGTGTGTCTGAAGCTTTGTGTCAGCGCAATCGTCATAACAACAGCAATCACAGTAAAAGCTTGGAACATGCAGAGCCTGCTTTCATGTTAATGTGCCATGTTAGCTATCAATACAAGGTCAGGTTCAAACCCTGATCCTCCAAATACGGTTACTTATAGTTAGCAGATGGAAGAAATCTTAACTTTGTATCAGTTATATTTTCTTCCATGTTCCAGTTCACTCTCAAATTGTCTTTGGTGGTTCTTTATCTTAGTGTTTGACATCAAGCTTAGCTCGTTTTCAAAGACACTACCCACAAAACTCTTGCTCTCTTGTTTCTTCACTTGCTGTGAATGAATGTGACACTTTGTACATCTTGTTGTCTTGTGATTCCATCACCATGTCTATGTTTTTGTGGTATTGTGATCCAAGCAGGAGTTGTTGCGTCACTGGATGAACTCCATAATCTTGAGTCTGAGCTCTGAGGCGGGCAAGACATTCCATGTCATCTGCAAATTTCATGACATGCAGGGTTGGTGTACAAACACCTCAGGGTGCTTATGTAAGGAACAAAATGCAGCGGGCTGAGAACTCCTGCCTTTTAGGGCCCGGTGTTTGTAGGGAGGCAGTTGCTTTGACCTCACTTCGACCCCGATCCTCACCAATGCATGTGTCAAGAAGTCGACAATCTTTCGGATCAGCTGGTGTTTGAGATGGAAATGCGGCAGCAGAATCTTTGCCAGGAAACAAGGTTTCTGTGTGCCAAATGTGGAGGAGAATTTGGCAAACATCAGCCCGGCTGCTGCTTTCAGTCTCTCCAAATCAGTGCGAGTGTGCTGGAGCAGCAGTCGTCTTCCTCTGTGTGAGGTAGCCTGGGTTTTACTAAATTAGACCAGCCAGCTAGGGGCTTTTTCCCCCTCATTTCTTTTAGATTTTCACTAAAAGCTATGAATACATTGAACTGACATAAGAGACCGCACTTACCAGTTGCTTTTAAATTTGCATGCGAATAGATGGAGCGTTTGCTTCACTTGAGGAAATGTTCTCACAGTGGATGTAGTATTAGCAGAGTGCATGTGTTTTCCAAGACAAAAGTTTGTTATGTGTGGGAGTCGGAGAGAGAAAGTGAGACAGAAAGAAAGAGGGAGGGAGTGTGATGGAGCCATCATTCAGCCCTTTGGCAATGATATCTTGTTTTCCTATCAGACTGGGCTCAATGTGTCTGTGCCCCTTATGTGTTATTGCCAGGCTGGAGCATTGGTTGTAGATCACTGTTGGAAATGTGATGCACAGGGCATAGCAGTCCCCCTGGATGACAGAGGGGAGTCATTTTTACCAAAGATGTTGGTCTCAGGCTTGTGCTGGTAACATGCAGATGAACCAGTTCCGACCCTGCACAGGCCACAGGATGTAGATGAGAGGAGGATGTTAGACTGCATCCATACTACCACGTTTTCATTTGAAAACAGTATTTTCAGATTGAAATGATCTCTGTCCACACCAGCGTTTCGGCTCAACCAGTTGTAATCCCTGTCCATATTAACACATCTGAAACCACATATCATGTGACTACTCATGTATACTGGGCATGTGTTTCCAAACATCTCAATTTCTGCCCATCCAGACTAAAACGCGTAGAGTTTTCAGATTAAAACGGCGCCGGGAGTGTTTCCAAACTGTTTAAGCGGCTGTAGAACTCCGGAGTAGTCCGGACACATTTGCACATCTGTAGCAGAGTTGTAAACGTAGTAGCGTAGCCTAAGAATCTCAAAACAGAGCCTCAGCAACACCAGCACATCCTGCAGCCCCATCTCACTTGAAAACAACACAAGTTATCTCATTGCCATGTGTGTGTGTGTATACCTACTATGAGGTGTAGCACCGGAGGGGCACCCTATAGTATATATGCTCAGCGATGCACTTTGTGATCTATATTCAGCAATTTCAGGAGCAAAGACGATGCTAAGATAAGATAAGTTAAGTGCTTGCACTTTCCCCCAGGGTCGCGTCTCCCACCACCAGCCTGAGGTTAAATCACACCAGAGCTTCCTCTCCTGTGTCTCTCCTAATCTGTCTGCTGCAGTGCTATCCCATCTGCTAAATAAAAAATGAAACGTGAATAGACAACTACCTCTGAAATAAGGCCTGTAATCCTTTACTAAACCTTACTGATGTTGATATTTGAGGTGTTATTTGCAGGTAATATTTACACTCTGTGTTGGCACAGGCATTAGTATAATACCTGATCTATTAAGAAATGAATCATCATGTGGGAGGCTGGCTTTTTTTTGACAGCTGCATATTCATGTTCCCATCCATCATTGTCTCTATTCGTACTCACGTCTATGTTTTGCATCTATCCAAACACAAACACACCATGTCAATGCTCCATGCGCAAAACAAATTGGAGCACTCTGTACAAGAAAAAGCTTGCCCCGGGGCTAGTCATTTTGAAATTAAAGGCATGTCTCTTTGTTCAGCCGCGGTTCCAGGAACGAGGAGGAGAATGTGGATGTGTCGCACGGAGGGGAGATGAACAGTGAGCGGGCGCTGTGATTTTCACAGCCAGAGAATCACACAGAGTCTTTTATCTATTTCCCTCAATCAGGAGACATCCGGCAGGAGCGGTAGGAGGATTAGATTAGCTCAAGAGAGAGAGAGGGAGGGAGAGAAAGGAAGAGTGGCTTCTCTAATCCTGATGGGGTTTTCAGAGGTATTCCCATCACTGTGGAGAAACATGCGGTGGGGAGCTGGGATTGGGAGAGAGGCGGGTGCGGGACAGTTTGCCTCACTAAACCCTCCACACTTGCATTAAAGAGGTTCCAGCAAACTTGGGGATTAGTCAGAGTGTAATTACACATGCGGGGCCTCAGATGTAGCGAAGCGTGCCCCGATTGGAACACACCTGAGACGGGCTGAGGAGGAAAGGAGTAATGGCTGATAATGTGGTGTCTGTGATCACCTGTCTTTAGAGAGCGCAAACAAGAAGATCTGCCACAGCACTCTTAGATTTCTTTATTTTGTTCAGTGTAGTGTATATTCAAGTCATTTATACTAACTACTTTTTCTATTGTATTAGAATTATAACTAATAACTGACTTAATATATAACGTTATATAGTACCTTTCAATCAAGGTACCCATGGCTGCTTTTCAGAGTCAGGAAATGAGAATAAAACAAAAGGAAATGCTAGGAGGGATTAAAGAATTGGAGAACGTGTGTGTTTTAATGAGTGTTTCTGGATTCAAAAGCTCACGTGCACGCAGGCACTGGGACTGAAACCACATGAAACCAAAATCTTACTCCTAAGTCGTGGTAAGAAGGTGCTCATTTACATGCGTCCGCTCTCACAAAGTTGTGCTACTCTCAGCTAACGTAGGGAAAAAAAACTTCATAACTAGGAGACACAGTTATTCTGACATTTCACAATTTTCAAATGTTTAAATTTCAACCTCGGATTGAAAAGCGGCGACATGCCCGCTGACGTCTTCTCACATTCTGGTTAGAGTTTTGGGGGAAGGAGGCTTATGGATTCAGTTTGTTTGACGTTTTTAACAAGCACTTATCCTGCTGTGTCTAACCTCTCTAATAAACACTGGTTGTCAAAAGGCATAATTATTGCATTTGTAGAATTGTATTAAGATAAAAACCTATTTCTGTCCGACTGCTCAGTCAGTTCATAAAATCAGTACTTTTCTCATTACTCCCTATCTTGCAAAGCTGTATTTCTACTGTGGAGAGTAAAAACCAAACAAAAGGGCAAGAAAATACTGTAGCACACAAAACCACTCATGATGCCAATCTGATAATCCTGCCCCCTTTTTAGGGTGTCGCACTTGGACTCTGTGGTTATTTCCTGTTTTATTCAGCAATCACATAGCATTTTCAGTTCATTGCTGTTTTACTTCCTGCTCTTATCTATGTTTTATATATTCCTGTCACTTTTCTATGTCACCAGGGGCCTGTACTGTGAAGCAGGATTTGTGGTTATCAGGGTAACTTCAGGTTTATTTCCGACATAGTTTTATAGTTTCATCCTTTATATTCAGTCAAGTAGGGGGTGAATATTGAGTATTTTGTCAGTTGGTGTTACTATTTCTTTGGCGAATGGACTATGGGGATGAGGGGATGTTCTCTTCTTGTTATTACTCACACCAGTCTCCTAAATGATATTTTTGACGGAGACATCACTGGAAGGGAGAACAGCTACAAGTTGAGTTTGTTTGTAGTGTGTGTGTAGGTTGCGAAAGCTAAATGATTTATTTTTCTACTCCTTTTTCATCATTCAGGTGCCCGAGGTGAAGCCCTGCAGCATGGCCAGTCCGGGACACTGCCCCGCTTCCTGGAGGAGCCCGTCGACGCTTACATCGTCAAGAGCAACCCCATCAAGCTCCAGTGTCAAGCTCGGCCCGCTCTACAAATCTTCTTCAAGTGCAACGGTGAATGGGTCCACCAGAGCCAGCACATGTCTCAGGAGCACACAGACCTGGGGACAGGTAAGACACACGCTGATATCAAATAAAATTTTAGTGGCATGGGCCCATATTCACATCCTATAACCCCTCGACTAAGAGCTAACAAAAAAACATTTTAACAGAGAAAAGAAAACACTGAACCCTCAGAGAGAGTCACATGTGAAGGATCCTTCTCCCAGAATGGACAGGAGTACAATAGATGCAACTTATAACAGCGCACAGCAACAAAATAACAATATTTACAAAATTGATGAGAGACGACAGTGTCTAACAAAAATGGTGAGAGGCGCATCAAAGTATTTAGACAAAAGAAAATGAGAGATGAAGGGAGTAATGACAGTAATGATTGGGGTATAGTAATGGTGGTATATGTGACCAGACAGAGGTGGTAAAAGTACTCACATTCACAGACACTAAAAGGGGGTTCAAGCAAAGAAGATTTGTGCGCATGAGGAGGAAATGTGTACAATGTATTGAATGAAATATTCTTAATTTTAATAGGGACGGGGATGGAAAATGTGTGGCTCGGCTCCGTTGCAGATGTTATCAGCATTATCACTAACGCTGCTCAATTCTCTTTACCATGTTGTTACTGCTTGTCACAGACACTCTCGCTACACCTCTTCTCTGCGCTCCCTCTCTTCTGTTTCATCTTTATTTGATTTTTTTTTTGGTTCACAAATAGACAAGGCAAAGAAGAGATAGAAATATCACGACTATACAACACAAAGACAGCAGGCCAAAGGTTACAGGCAAAATATATATGGTAAAATAAAACATAGTTACTTGCTTAGAGATCACTGCATCAATCAGTCCTTCATAACAGAGCTTCTTTGCTCTGTCTACACGGTTTTATATCTATTCGATTTATAATCTAAATAAAACAGAGCCCTATACTAAATGTCTCTTATTGATGTATTCTTTTATAAGTGTCCACGGCCCCTTACAAATCACTGTCTGTGTAATGCTGCTGCGTGGCAGAGGCTGCTTGTTCCATGATAATCAGTTCTATGAAGTCCTTCAGCCAGCCATTTATACAAAAACTATTATCATATAAACAACATTATCAAACATTGTGTTCCTGCAGATTTAAGTCAATACATTTTATATCCTAACAAGCATACTTCCAGGGATACTGATAAATCGTCATTCTTTATAGAGCTCAACATGTTTCTAACTCCATCCCAGAATTTCCTTACATCTGGCTAGTGCCATAACATATCATTGATCCTTTTTTACCTCCACCGTGCCAACATAAATTCATTTTGTTAAATTTCTGTGGGATTATTTAGGTTCAGCATAAAATCTTCAATTGTGTAAGTTTGTAGCTAAAACATTTTGAAAGATAATTTATCATGGTGTCCCATTGTTCCAGTGATAGGTGTTTCCGCAGATCATCTTCCCGTGGGAATTTGGTTTGATTTATGTCATTGCAAAAGATATAAGTTTATAAAGTTTGGATACTGTACCTCTATTTGTTACAGTCTCTTTTGATTTATTATCTGTATCTTTACCTGTGTCCATGAAAGAACCCTCTGATCTAAATGTCTGGATAGATTTAAATTGTAAACTCATAAAAAACAGATAATTTAGGTTGTATTTAGCTTAATCTCATTTAATAATGTCATTCTCTGCTGCTTAATGATGTGTCCTAAATATTTAACATTATTCCTTTTCCATTCCTTATTAGTAAGTCTAACCTCCAGTAGTGATCAATGTCCATATTGGACACAATCTTAACCCATGTAATATACATGTAATGTATAATATTCATTATTTCACATGAGAAGCTATAGATTGAATTGTTATTTGTGTTGACTTTTGGACAGCACCATAAGTAGGTGAGGGATATTTGTTTTTTACTGTTCGCAACAATTTTTTGTTCCAACCAGATCCACCTACCGACCTCATACTGTTTGTGATCCGCCCATAGCAAGGGATATTTGCCGTTAAAGGCCAAGTACTATGTGTATTTTTCTGGTATCCCTAGACCCTCTTCTATTTGCGTTTTACTAGTTTGTTGAGACCAATTCTTGTTTTTTTATTCAACCAAAGAAACATTAAAAAAAAGTTTTTTTAATTGTTTTGAACCAATTCAGGAAATTGAAGTGGGAAGGAAGACATCATGAAAGACAATCTGGGGAAAACAGTCATTTTGATTATCTCTGCTATTCTCTCCCCATCTGGGGTCAGGTCTTCTCTTCTACTTTTAATCAATTTAGGTCCATATATTTGAAATATCTTGATGAATTTGCATGTTTTATTTATACACTCCCTCTTTCTTCCAAACTATCTGAGTTGTGCCAAGATGTATTGGAGAAGTCATGCAGTTAAGGGTCTTGTTCCAATTGATTTTATATCTGGAAAGATTTCCAAACTCATTCAAAAGCCTGAATAGGTGTGGTAATGAGATTTCTGGATTTGAAAGAGTTAACAATATGTCATCTGTCAATACATGTATTTTAAAGTCATACCCACACAAATCTATACTACTAATTTGGTGGTTTGCTCTGATGGCACTTACCAGAGGTTCCAATGCCTATATTATTACTGGAGACACAGGACGGCCTTGTCTCGCTGATCTTGTTAATTCAAATTTGGAGGAGACCGGCAAGTGGTTTCTCTCTAGTGCTCCCCAACCCACTGCACACAGATCCAAGGCCATATCTTTCCAAGGTATGAAATAAATTAGGCCGTTTGATCCTATCAAATGCTTTTTTCTTACAGCATATGAAAGAGCTTCTCATGTTGTTAGAGGCATGATGGCCTCTTACAAATGCTACTTGACCAAGATGTACCAATGAGGGAACCACGTATTCAAGACGCATCGCCAGTATTTTAGTAAATAGGTTGTAATCGTCATTAAGCAGGCTGAGAGTCCTATAGTTATTCATTTGCATTGAATCTTAACCCGGTTATGGCAATGTTGATATAACAGCTGTTCTCATGCTGGCAGGCACTGACTGAGACATTATATTGTGATTGAAGAACATTGTAAGAAATGAGGCCAAAACATCCTGAAAACATTTATAAAACTCACTACAGCAGCAGCCTTTAGTTCTTTCTCTGGAACATATTCCTCTTATCACTTGTGTAGGTATAACTCGCAAAAAATAATTGTTGGCCTAATTTAAATCAAAATGAGTGATTTATATAATTTCTTATAGTATGATTTAACAGTGGTTCATATGTTTTGGATTTTGTATAAGTCGTCCATTACTATTATATATGTTGAAATTGAGTGTTTAGTCTCTATTGCTCTCTTTGTTTTAGTCATTGCCATCTTTTTACCTGCCCTATCACCAGACCCCCAAAAAATGTCTTTAAGTTTAAACAATGCAAATACTGTTTTATTTCCTGCAGTTGTGCTCTGCAAAGTATCACTGAGTCCTGATTATCGTGTTCCCTCGTGTGTCTTTTTTCAAGGTTCTTAAGTTTAGAGAGGTTTTTTTTCTTGCAGTTGAGTAACTCATTGTCCATCCCCTGCATGTGGTTTTAAATGCTTCCCATATCATCTGATATAAAGATACTGAATTCTTATGTGGAGTAAAAATATTCATTTATTATTGATGAGATAAATACTTCATCTCTTTGAAGGTGGAATTATTCAGCCTCCATTTGGTTTTATTTAATTCAAAGATAAAATAAAAGCTAACAGAAACAGGGGCGTGTCCTGAAATGACTATAGAATGAATTTCAGAGTTATTAACACTTTCAACCAGTTGATGGATAATCATAGATTCCAAGAATATGAGTTACTTCCTCCCTCTGAGAGTAGGCCGATTGTTTATCGGCGCAATCTAGTTTATATTTGAATCCACGATCGGCTGCCACCAAAATGTAGTACCACATTATGGATCTGGCTCTGATGTATATATGGAGACTGTACACTCCCATGATGAACAAACATACACACTCTGCAACCTCAGCTAAATTCTCCACCCGTCAAGCCTCTCCCCTGTCACTTTAACTTATAATGATAGCATTCATGTCTCCGTTAGCGAGGGCTGAAGTCTTCAGAGCGAACTTCCCAAATGGGGCTTTATGACAACGCCTACGGCCGCGTCCAACCCTGTGAATAATATTTGCCTCTCTTCTTGAGCGCACACTGCATGTCACATTTGATCTAAACTGAAATGACAACTGTTAGACCATGAAAGGCACCAACTTGTTCAATTTTAGGATTTGACTTTGAACTACAAATGGTCTTTTACTGATGCAACTCGCAGAAACGCGCTTGTTGTTTTAACTTCAAAATGAAGCCATTCAAAAATTCCCCCCACAGTTTTTTCCCCTTTTTATGTCCAAAGGCTCCTGTTTTTATTGCATCATCTCAACAATGGGGCACTAATATCGCAATAGTTCACTTGTGTTTATGCAGCAAACTGTAGCAGTAATAAAAACTGAATTATTCTTTACATTTTCCCTGAAACATATATGTACTTTAAGTCATGAGGATGATTTTTAAATGGGGGGAAGTTAGACAATTAAGGAGCTCGTCAGATTATTTTCTAAATAAGGTTTTTTTGTTTTTTATTGAGTGGACATCTTATATAGATTGATTCAAGGGCAACTACTTGGTTTTAGGCTTTTATAAACACTTGTAAAAAAGGGAATTGACTCCTTTCCAATTGCTAGAAGAGGGGTTTGCCCTTCAGTTTCCCCCCAGTGAGTCTGAAAGCTGTGAAGAAAACAAGTTGCTCTTCCATCTTGTACCTAAATGTATAAAACATTACACAAACAATTCTGGTTATTTAAAGTTCAATGTCCGTCAGAACATCGCCCCAGAAAAGGTCCATTGTAAACGTCTGTCAAAATAATGAAGAGGAAGAAATAAGCGCTCTCATATGGGTGTCCTGTTTCCTTCCCTGCCAATCAGAACCATTAAAAGCCAGTATCTACTCCGATGGGACCCACGTATTTAACCTCTGTGGGGTGTTGTCAAGGCCATTAATGTCACTTTGTTCCTTAGTGCTTCTGGATTGTCTTGTCATTACAACAACCAAGGGCTCTAACGCAAC